CCCAGTAATGTTGTTTGTTAATGTGTGTGTGTGTGTGGGGGGGGGGGAATTGTTTGGGGAGATGGGAATTTTTGTGATGGCTTTACATTTTTTTCTGTTTTAATTGCTGCTTGTAAGCCCCCCAGGGTTATGGCGCATAAGATGTGCAGCTGTATCAGATAAATAAATAAATAAATAAATAAATAAATAAATAAATAAATAAATAAATAAGCAAGCAAGCAAGCAAGCAAGCAAGCAAGCAAGCAAGCTATTAAAACTACCCTCAGAAGATTTGTGAGCTTATAGGAGACCACAGCTTTTGTGCTTTTTCAAAGTGAAGATTGTCTACGATAACAGATGGATTATCCTTGTTTTCTTGAGTGAGGTAAATCATTATAAGGCACTCAGGTTTCAGCATGGTTTTGTGTGTATGTAACAGGTTGTTTTTATCATGGAGTGAATCTGACAAAACCAAAATAAGCAGCTTAGAAGTGGGGTTGAAAAAGCCAAGAGAGTCACAGGAGAGATGACACAGAAACTACAGTCAACTGGCCCCCTTTGTTCTGAAGATCCTCTTGCTTTTCATAAACAGAAGGAGATGAGATATCCAGATCAAAGCTAAAGTTGAGAACTAATCACATCCGATATCAAGGAAACTTAGCCCAGGTAACTAATACACCCAAGACTGCAGTCATGCTGTTTTCTAATAACCAACTTAGTGTGATGTAGTGCTACTCTTTTTGTGTGTCATACACATTGTCCCAATGAGGCCCAACACTTCAAAATTTAACACTACAGGTCCATGTTATTTTTACATTTCTTTCATTGATTTATCATTTATTTGCTGCTTCTATTTGTTTAGCCACGTGGGAATTCTTTTTTGGGAAAGGAAAACTGAGTCTGTCTGTTTGCCTAATTACCTATCTAATGTAGAAATGAGTTACACTTTAAACCACCCTGTTGTTGATGGAAATTATACTGTGAGTTTCTATAGAAAATACCATAACACCGAAACAAATAAACAAACTGTAATGGGCTTTTTAAGCAATTTCTATTAACATCTGTGCCAAATTTTACAGTATTTTTAATTGTCTTTTAACAGCCTGACAATGTTAGATACTATTAATCATTGAAGATTTTAATCAGAGCTTGGATCACCTTTTATTAGTATTGTAAGTAATCAATGCATTGTGCAGTTATTCACTATAACTAATATTAAATTCTTAGTTTTTACTATTTCTGTCATTTTATTTTTATTCCCAATAAATTCCTCACCTTTGACATGAGATCATTTTCTCATTACCATTAATTTATCTGCATTCTATT